TCAAGATGAGATCCAAAGAGCTGTCACTATCAGTGAAGCAAGCCATCATTAGGCTGTAGAAAAAAAAAACAAACCCATCAGAGAGATAGCAAAAACATTAGGCGTGGCCAAAACAACTGTTTGGAACATTCTTAAAAAGAAGGAATGCACCGGTGAGCTCAGCAACACCAAAAGACCCGGAAGACCACGGAAAACAACTGTGGCAGATGACCAAAGAATTCTTTCCCTGGTGAAGAAAACACCCTTCACAACAGTTGGCCAGATCAAGAACACTCTCCAGGAGGTAGGTGTATGTGTGTCAAAGTCAACAATCAAGAGAAGACTTCACCAGAGTGAATACAGAGGGTTCACCACAAGATGTAAACCATTGGTGAGCCTCAAAAACAGGAAGGCCAGATTAGAGTTTGCCAAACGACATCTAAAAAAGCTTTCACAGTTCTGGAACAACATCCTATGGACAGATGAGACCAAGATCAACTTGTACCAGAGTGATGGGAAGAGAAGAGTATGGAGAAGGAAAGGAACTGCTCATGATCCTAAGCATACCACCTCATCAGTGAAGCATGGTGGTGGTAGTGTCATGGCGTGGGCATGTATGGCTGCCAATGGAACTGGTTCTCTTGTATTTATTGATGATGTGCCTGCTGACAAAAGCAGCAGGATGAATTCTGAAGTGTTTCGGGCAATATTATCTGCTTCAGAACTTCAAATGCTTCAGAACTCATTGGACGCCGCTTCACAGTGCAGATGGACAATGACCCAAAGCATACTGCAAAAGCAACCAAAGAGTATTTTAATGGAAAGTAGTGGAATGTTATGCAATGGCCAAGTCAATCACCTGACCTGAATCCGATTGAGCATGCATTTCACTTGCTGAAGACAAAACTGAAGGGAAAATGCCCCAAGAACAAGCAGGAACTGAAGACAGTTGCAGTAGAGGCCTGGCAGAGCATCACCAGGGATGAAACCCAGCGTCTGGTGATGTCTATGTGTTCCAGACTTCAGGCTGTAATTGACTGCAAGGGATTTGCAACCAAGTATTAAAAAGTGAAAGTTTGATTTATGATTATTATTCTGTCCCATTACTTTTGGTTCCTTAACAAGTGGGAGGCACATATGCAAATTGTTGTAATTCCTACACCGTTCACCTGATTTGGATGTAAATACCCTCAAATTAAAGCTGACAGTCTGCAGTTAAAGCACTTCTTGTTCGTTTCATTTCAAATCCATTGTGGTGGTGTATAGAGCCAAAAATGTTAGAATTGTGTCGATGTCCCAATATTTATGGACCTGACTGTAGCTGCCTATAAACCAGTTTAATAATGATTCAAGATCCTCTGTCCTGTAATGTACTCTAGAAAACAGATTACACTAGTAAGTCAAAAATCCTGTTTTTCCAGCTAGGTTTAACAGTGCTTTTTCATCAAACTGTAATAGGCCCTGACTGGCAGAAAGAGATTAATCAGAAGCCCGCTGAGGCTATCCCTATTCTCAATGATGAAATTCTGTCCTGCCATTGGCCAATATCTCTCATTACATCCCTTTTCACATGGCTTTCCAATCAGGTCCTCCTGTCAGGTTTTCAGGCGGACCTGATAAAAAGCTCCATGTAAATCAATAGGAAGGTGGATGTAAATGAACATTTACATCTGCTTGATTCTGAGTCCATTCACGTCATGAAAAAAATGGCCAAGGTCTGCGTCCTTTTCTGTTTCTCCAGACATAAGTCCGAAGGAATGCAAGTTTGTTTACATCTGGCTACCGATAGATTTAATCATGTAATTTGATTATATACATGTCCAAGCTATTGGGGTTTGAGCACAGGAATTTCTTACTTCTAGATCTAATATGGGTCCAGAAAGCTCAGATTTTTAGACAAAGCTAAACCGAGTGAACAAAAGTGACATTCATCCGGTCCTCCTCCAGTTCAGCAGGGGATCTGGTCCTGGATCCCCTGCTGAATGGAGCAGACAGCACTTGTGTGAAATTGGCCTAAGATCTAAGAGACCACAGATGATACAGCAGAGTAAAACTGGCCAGCAGCAGGACTTCTTTTATGAAGGAGATCTGGCTGAAATGAACTAGACAAACAATGCAAGCAGGTGTTTTAATACAATAGTTGAATTCCAATTCTGGGAATTACAAAAAAACTACCATTGTAGTGGGGCTCGTCACTGCAAAGGCTAAATATTTATTAATTCTCTTCAATGAGGAATCTGCCCTGGCTTGTGTGCTATTGGCACTGCGCTGTACTTGATGATGTCCTCTTGCAACCAAGGCCCAGAACACCTTAGAGAAGAGGCTTTGTGGACTGATGGAAGAAGCCTATTGGAGCAAGGACAAAGGTACATATTACACCCTATAGTTAACTAGAATTTAACCCTTGCAATGCCAGGGGATTGAACATATCCTTTGAACAGATGAGACAAAACGTGAACTTTTTGTCAAGTCACATCAATTCAATTTACATAATATAAAATTAAGCTTTCACAGAATGGAACACTATACCTGCTGTGAAACATGGAGGAGGCTTGGTTATGTTTTGGCTCTGCTTTTCTGCATCTGGAATGGGGTGCCTTGAATCTGTGCAGGTCACAATGAAATCTGGACTATCAAGGAATTCTGGAGTGAAACCTATGGCCCAATGTAAAAAAAAGCTTTGTCTCATTTGCAGTGTAAGGGTCCTCCAACATTACATGCAGCTAAAAACCCAAGGATAGCTAATAATATAACATTGGGCTATTCTGAAGTGGTCTTCTATGAATCCTGATCTGGATCTTATTAAACATGTATAGCAAGAGCTGAAACATGCAATCTGGCACCCTTCAAACCTGAGACAGATAGAGCAGTTTGCTCAAAAAGAGAGGGGCAAACTACCTGTTGGCATGTACAGGAGTTCCATTGAGAGCTACAGAAATCACTTGTTTACATTTATTCCTCTAAAGGTTGTGCAGCAAAATAAATATTAGGTTAAATAGTTACTAAGATCTGATATGTTATAAGCCCACTACAAACCTCAGTATTTACCATCTTTGCTCTGTTGCTTTCATATTAACTCTGTGGCTTTTTAGATTCTTTTCATGATTATTGGTACCTTTAAAGTCCCATCTGATTTCCCTTTTCAACAATTCATATTAATAGTGATGTGGTACCAGGTGTGATTTTGGTTAGGATTCAGGATCAAGGATATTAAGCACATACATTCCCTTGCTGGATCCCATGGAACCACCTCTTCATGAGGGCTCCCATCTGTGATGTGCAGCCACACATTCAGTATTACAAGAAGCCTACAGCGGCAGGCCACTTCCCGGCTCCACCCTCCTCCAGCAGTGTAATGGACAGCAGCATGAGCCTGTGCTGTCCAATTAAATAGCACCCTGATGTGCTCAGAGGCCAACAGCAGAGATCATTTTACAGTGTAAATGTAGGCACAAAAAAAATAAATTCTACCGAGGAAAGTTTACCTCATTAGGAGGAGTCGATACAAAATAATGCAGTGTTTAATACTAATTTAAGGGTCCCATCATTTTTATCCATGTCATTGTCATTTGTTTTATTATTTAAAATATTTGGTTGAATTGAAAATCAGTGGTTGATGCCAATTATTTTAGCACGTTTTACGTTATTTCATAAAAATTGGGAGTTCTTTGAATTTTGTGGAAGTGTATCAACAAGTTTGTTCAGCAATCTATATGGCCATGTGACATTGTTGCTCTAAGAGGAATGCTGTTTAAAAGGATTTTCATATAATCTTGAATAAGACACTCTAATGGATATAGTGAATGCCAGTCCTTGACTGTATTGCTTACAAATAATGCTTTTTTCTTTGTTTGATACCTAGGAGAACTTTTGCACCTTTAAAAGTCGTTGTTGAGATTCCAACCGATGACCCTAGTGCTGCCAGTCAATAGTGCTAATCACCACAGTGATACCTAGATATGTATGACTTTAACTGCTCATTTAGGTAAAAGCACTTTTAGTTACCTAATCCTCTGCTTCCCTGGAAGGTGCTCCCTACGCTCCAACTGTGGACTGTGATGTTCAATGCAGCCCTATGGACCCTGCATTGGTCTTGATCAGGGGCAGACTGACAACTCATGGGGCCCCCGGGCAATAGGGGATCATGGGGCCCGAGTCCTTGCCTAAACTCAAAAAAGCCTATGAAAAAGGTACCAGGGGCATCTCATGGGGCCCCCTACTGACCCCGGGCCCTCAGACAGTGCCCGAGTTTCCAAATGGTCAGTCTGCCCCTGGTCTTGATGACATCAGGACCACCGTATTATGGGGAAGAAGATGCTGTTAGGACCTTTCTAGCAGCCCGGAGGATCGGGTAGAAGTAGTTTTCTGTTTCTATGTCATCTAGACCTAAATAAGCAATTAACGCTTGTAGTGCGGTGGAGCCTGCAGTTTCCTGGAGTTGGGCTTTAATGTTTTTTATTTTCATAAGGTCCTACATAAAAAAATACTTTTTTTTCAATCATAGTAGATTCACTCATCTGTAACCTTTCATATTTTTTTCTGAGACTAATGAAGTTAGAACCTGGTACATAAATAAAAGTTTCTTGATCTATACAGTCTAAACATTGTGTGGCATGGGTCCTACCCTTCCTCTACTCTACTGAGAAAAAAAGATTTTTATTTCTGTGTCTGATGAAACCGTCTGTCACTGGGACATTAAATGGGGGGGGGGGGGGGAGGAATCTCTCTAGCCAAGATACTAGTGCATACATGATAGGAGTTACAATGCTATCCAGAACTAGTGGACAAACACTTTAATGTTGATGTACTCTCATAACTTTCAAAAAGTTATTTGTGTTCATTACACCAAGGACCTTTGTATGTAATTATCATATTCATGGATCTGTTGCAGAATTCAAAGATGTCAAAAGATGCTAAATGTAACAGTGCAGAGCAAGTTCCATTTATGGAAGAATGGAAGGCACGAAGAGAGAGAATGAGATTACGTTCCTCCTCCTCCAGTCTTGGTGGGAGCAAGTCCATAGACATCCAGGTCCAGCAAGAAGTGGAACTCCAGACCAAGTCCTGGTCTTCACATTCTGCTCAAGATCATGAGAAAGAAATGGGAGGAGTAAAAGCAACTACATCATCTTTCAAAATCCAGTCTCTTGTGACTGCAGAAGTTGAATATCATGAGCCAGTCACCTCAAAAACTAAGGAAAAAAAAGGGAGCCCTCAAAAGAAACATCGGACTCAGATTGAGAAAAGGAAGCTTCGGGAGAAGAGGAGACCTACTGGAGTAGTAAATATGTTTCCATCTGAGGCAAGTCAAAACCCTCACTTACAGTAAAAGTCAACTCTATGTCTTGCTTCTAAAGATGTCCTCGATGTAGACAACTACTAGAGGAGAACTGTATTCTTCTGTTAGAGCTGTTCTAATCAAGCATCTTTTAAAAATAACTCCTTAACCACTTGCCGTCCGGCCGCTGTATATAAACGGCCGGACGATGGCAGTCCAGGGGCGGGTTGCTGTTCATAAACGGCGCCTGCCATTTTGGACTGTGCGAGTTCCTTGGGAGCACGCAGCACCGCGAATCCTGTGCCGGCTGTGTCCTCGGCCACAGTGGAACACCGATCGTCGTACGGGACCTCAGCGCGAGGTCCCGATCATGTGATCACTGATTGGCCAATCAGTGATCTCATGCAGAGTAGTAAGCAAGATGTCACTTCTGACATCACTGCTTACTATGTGTGAAATCTGTGAATGATCCGAGATCATATGGTACAAGGCTATTCACAACAGCCTTGTACCATGTGACAAGCTGTGACCAATCACAGCGCACACAGTATTTTTCAATGGCTGCAAGAATGCAGCCAGAGAGAAGGAGAAATGATTGCTTTTACAGCCTTTATGGGTGTAAAAGCAATCAGTGTAAAAAAAAAATCTTCATCACGCCCCACAAGTAGTACAGTGTCACCATGGTCTCTATTGTCTAGAGACAATAGTACAGTGTCTACCATGGTGACACTGTACTGCTAGGGTGACAGTATATAAAAAAACACCCAAAAAAAACAAATACTATAAAAAAAAAAAAATGTTAAAAAAAAATTTTAAATTATAATTTTTAGTTATAAACTAAACTAATTTGGGTTATTTTTTTTTTTTTTTACTAAAAAGATAACTGAATACATTTTGGCAAAGATTTATGATGAAATATTATCTGAAAAATGTTATAAGAAAAACACTTTTTTAAAAAAATTTTTTTTGGACATTTTCATTTATATAGCAAAAAAAAATAAAAATTCCAGTGGTGAATAAATACCACCAAAATAAAGCTTTATCTGTCTTAAAAACAATGCTAAAAAATTCATATGGGTACAGTGTTGCATGACCGCGCAATTGTCATTCAAAGTGTGATAGCGCTGAAAGCTGAAAATTGGCTTGGACAGGAAGGGGGTAAAAGTGTCCGGACTTGAAGTGGTTAAATTCAAAAAAATAGTAAGGTTTTAATACAGTCAAACTCCAGAACAACTCTTGTATTGTGTAGGATAGACTACCATTAAAACCTCTCTCAACTATGCATTGTAGTTGGTGTACCCCTTGGATTTCCTCCCACTACCTATCCTGGCAACAGCAAGTCAGAATGAGGAATAGAGAACAGATAGAAGTCAGAGTGAGGAATAGAGAACAGATAGAAATCAGAGTGAGGAATAGAGACAACAAGAAAGGCTCTTTATGGACAGAGCGGGGAAGGGAAAGAACTTCTGTCAAGATTTACTGCTGTGTGTGCCATTGAGTTCCAGTGACACTTGTTCCCTTCATTTGATGATCTGCTGTTATAGGAACAAAAAATTAAGGAAAAACTTTCCAATGGGGCCAAAGATAGCAATAAAAATCTGACAAGTATTCTAACCCTATTCCACTCTGTCCAAAACTAAAAAACGTTCTCACTAAAGTTGGGATGGGGTATTTAAAGTGGATGTTTCCAAGTTTCACTCATGACTTGTTGTGTCTTAGAACTGCAAGATTGAATTAATTTCTGAGACATTTGTTTTCAGGTGAGACAATAAAGAGTTGAACTCTTAATTAAATCAACAAAGGACCCGTGGTCCAACAAAGGTTTGTCTTGCCAACATTATATCAGCTTAAATTTAGCTTAGTCACTATCACCAAAAAAACACAACACAGAATGCTAAACTTTTTATTGTCTACTAAGATCTTTGTGTATCACCCGCATAAGATTGTTTACGTAGGTTGCCAACAGTAATCCTTTGTAGCCATTTTGTAGTAAGAACTGTGCTACTTATCAAACAAAGAAAGCTTCAGTTAAAATTTCAAGCCATACCTTGCATACCAAAGTGTTTTGCTCATATTTTTTTTTCAAGCATACTTGCCCCCAGAGTGTTCAGTATCAAAAGAATCAAGAAAGTCCATCTGTTTTAGTGTTCTACTTGGCAGGTGCAAATGTATGTAAGGAACAATAGAATAACAAGGCCCAGCAAACTTGGTGGGGATTCATTCCTTGAGATGTCTGCAGATACTGGAGGCTTTTGCAGACTGTACAGCCAATGTGACTAGAAATAACTCCAGATGCCTGATGAACTAGACTTTTTTTTTCGGTAGGACCTGAAAGAACACAATTTACCACACTGCAAGATATATGCCCCCTTCTAATTTGTAGAAGCATTAAATTTAATTTGAAGCAGTGCAGAGAGTCAAAAACTATGTAGGAGTTATGAAAAAAAGCTATTGCACAGCATATTCCATAATGCAAATAAAGATGTAGGTTGACCATAGGTTTAGTTAAAAGAAGCTAGAAATGTTTAAAGTGTCATTAAACCCACATCATTAAAAACTATCAATAAATGCTGTATTACATGCTGTTCAAACTCACTCGGTCACTGTGGAATTAGTTTTCTGTATTCTGCAAAAAACCTGAGTGATCCTGCTTTTCTCTGTCCCCCCCCCCCCCCAATCAACGTCCCCATAGCAGATGGGGATTTTGCAGAGCTGTGTTGGCATGCTCATTTTTCAGTGTATTTTCTACCCTGAGCATTTCCTCCCTATGACATCTGAGCAACCCATGTGACTATAGATACACATCTGGGTGCACATGCAGTGGTAAATGTCACTCCTTTCCTTCCCTCCTCCTCTATGCTCACCAACTAGCTATACACAATGGGGTGGGATATTACATCTTGATTGATGGAGGCTTCACCTCCCTGTAATTCTAAGACACAGGCTGGAAGGGTGTTACACAGCCTGTGACTTGCAGAAATCCACTTGTACAAGGTTATTGCCAAAAAAAAATTATAAATATTTTATTTCAAATCTATGTTTGTATGACAATTTAAAACACTTTATTGATATTATCTATTTTTACTCTGTATCCTAAAGGCTGTTTTTTTATCATGTGACAAGGAGCAGAGGACTAAAAGCTCCTCCTGCCACTGTTCCCCTGCAGACATGCAAAGAAAGAGCTGGGTCATGTGATGTATATCGATTAGGAAAGTACTGCAATGTTTTTTGCATTTAAATATAGTGCCATCATCCACATACAGAAAAAAAGGGATAATGTAAATTAAACAGTGTGTGTTTAGTATATCTGTTATATCAGTGGAACTAGACATTCATTACTCACTTATTTTATTTAGGTTATGGTAATACATGCCTTGACAAAGACTGTGGTCCTTAACCTTTTTGTAGAAAAGCTGTCACCAGAAGCATAAGCAGTCTGTTGAAAAAAAACCCCAAAACATAGCACAAAGGCCCACAGAGGGCAACAAAGAAAACAATATAACGGACCTTAGTGGATCTAGAAACCTGAGAGGAAATTTAGTGGCTGTAGCTCAAGCTCTATCAGACACCGACTGAACAAAAATCTAAGCCCAGGCCTTTGGGTATATATTAAGAAGCATATTGTTTAGGAGGAGTAGATGCAGGAACCTCCAAGCTAAGCTTTGTGCAGGTGTCTGAAAGAGAGAGAGAGTCCTATATTAAAGAAACAGGGGGATGGATTCTGGGAACATCCCATCTACAAAGAGTTTTATTACCATGGATGCAAAAAATGGCAATTTGAATATTTACCAGTTGTGGAGAACTATGGCTGGGTGAAAACTGAAGTGGAGCAATTATTTTAAAAACATCAGTATACAAATCACTTGTATAACAGCTATAAAAGTTATTACCATTTTTAAGAATCAGGACATTTCCAGTAAAAGAATCAGGAGACCACAAATATGAAACTATCAAAAAGGTAGGGCTGCACTCCAGTGTATGATATTTCAATATCAGTGCTGAAAATAAAAACATTCAATTATCCAACATAAGCTAAAAAACAATTTGCTTGCATATGTCATATTGTGCAAACCATACTTATCCAATAAAAAATACAATAGGTGCAAACGATATACAAATAAAATATGTGCGATATAGAAGTATAACTAGTATATTCAATGGATGCTTTAAAAAAAGATAAAAAAATGTCTGTGCAAGTTCATACAGTTGTGACCAAAATTATTCAACCCCCAATGCTGTAAAGGGGTTTAGGGACTATAGTGTACATTTGGAATTGTATTCAGAATCAAATCCTACAAGGACGTTGTAACTACCCAAATGCAACTAAAATGACATCAATTGTTTATGTAATACAGTAGTAAATGGTTCTTATGTGGTTTCTTCATTGCCACAATTATTCAACCCCTTAAAGACTACCACTCTGAAGAACAGAGGTTCATACAGGTGCTTTCCATCAGGTATTGAAAACACCTGTGGATGTCACCGAGCAGCAATCAAGCATAATAAGCACCAATTAGGCAGCTTTAAAATGACTGTGATACTCAGCTCCTTCTAGACATTTACTGGTGTGGTTACAAACATGGTGAAGGCAAGAGAATGGTCCAGGAAGACAAGAGAAGAGGTGATTTCTCTTCACAGGAAGGGCAATGGCTATAAGAAGATTGCAAAGATGTTTAAACATACCAAGAGACACCTTAGGAAGCATCATTCGCAAATTCAAGGCAAAGGGCACTGTTGAAACGCTACCTGGTCGTGGCAGAAAGAAGATGCTGACTTCGACTGCTGTGCGCTACCTGAAGCGTAGAGTGGAGAGAAGTCCCCGTGTGACTGCTGAGGAACTGAGAAAAGATTTGTCAGATGTGGGTACAGAAGTTTCAGCCCAGACAATAAGACGCACACTGCGTAATGAAGGCCTCCGTGCCAGAACTCCCAGGCGTACCCCCCTTGCTGTCTCCAAAGAATAAGAAGAGTCGACTGCAGTATGCCAAAAGCCATGTGGACAAACCACAAAAGTTGTGGGATAGTGTTCTGTGGACTGATGAAACAAAATTAGAACTGTTTGGGCCCATGGATCAACGCTATGTTTGGAGGAGGAAGAACAAGGCCTATGATGAAAAAGAACACCTTGCCTACTGTGAAGCATGGTGGAGGGTCAATCATGCTTTGGGGCTGTTTTGCTTCTGCAGGTACAGGGAAGCTTCAGCGTGTGCAAGGTACCATGAATTCTCTTCAGTACCAGGAGATATTGGATGGAAACGTGATGCAGTCCCGTCACACACCTGAGGCTTGGGAGACGTTGGACCTTTCAACAGGACAATGATCCCAAGCATACCTCCAAGTCCACTAGAGCATGGTTGCAGAGGAAAGGCTGGAACATTTTGGAGTGGCCATCGCAGTCACCAGACTTAAATCCGATTGAGAACCTCTGGTGGGACTTAAAGAAAGCAGTTGCAGTGCGCAAGCCTAAGAATGTGACTGAACTGGAGGCCTTTGCCCATGAAGAATGGGCGAAGATACCCGTAGATCGCTGCAAGACACTTGTGTCAAGCTATGCTTCACGTTTAAAAGCTGTTATAACTGTAAAAGGATGCTGTACTAAGTACTAAGATTGAATGTCACTTGGGGGTTGAATAAAACTGATAATGCTGTGAGCACAGAAAAGACATTTGTGGTTATTTCATTATAACTGTTATGTTATATTTGTCTGACCTACAAGTGCCTCTTTAATGTAAATGTAAGCAAGATGACTGAATGATCAAAAGCAATGTCAAACTGGCCAAAACACTCAATTTCAGTGGGGGTTGAATAATTTTGGTCACAACTGTATATAAGGAGAAGGGACATCAGTGCTTTATATGAGTGTAGTAGTTGTATAAAATCTCATTTACTAAAAAGTACTCACAAGGACTTGTATAAGGCACGTCATTATTGGGCTAACTCGTGCTTAATGGTCTGGACCGCTGGTGGCAGTGTGTATCCCAAGACTGCATGGTCACGCTGGGTGGACAGGTGGATCGAAGGCGCTGGGCTTCCGTCGCTGGTAGCGGTGACGTTACTGTATCCGAAGGGAGAGGAGCGGCTTGTGGGCGGCGTGCGTTCAGAGCATGTGTGCTCCTTCCTCAGGCGCTCCTTCTCCTTCTAAATCTTATAAAAGAAAAGCTTCTATCTGACAAACTGGCTTCTTTCTCATTGAAATGATCTCTCATCCTTATACAAGGACCGTGGCCTGATTATCCTTATTGGACATTTTGTATTTGGTGTCCCTTTTTACTGTCTTGTTTTCTCTGAGCTCCACAATCATTTGTTGTTTTTGGCAAATTCATATATATTTAAACAGTCCCAATGTGATAACTCAGTCAAAATTTACCAAATTGCTTCTTTCTTCTACCAATGTGAAATCCACCACCAAAAAAACTAAATAAACTCACTAGAGCAAAATGCTAGTATATTATGGACCAGCTCACAGCTCATTCCCCTCTGGGATTAACAATCTGCGGACTCAGCAAGATCCTCTGTACACTGCCATGATCACCAATTCATATGTGGGAGGAGGAGAAAAAGCTTGCATTGCATAAAATCCTTAAAAAGCTTCTATTTTTAAAATCAAACTCACATTTTGGTGTGTCTACACTGACACAAGTACATCAGCATAAACATGACCTGGGCTTGCTCTGACTAAAATTCCTTGCTGCAAGTGTAAAACACCAGCATGCATGGTGACGTCACATCCAATCCCCAATGTGACAAACAATTGGTTCCCACTGCTGTCAATCACAGCCAGTGAAAAGGGAGCAGGGGACAGTGAACACACAGAACACAGCTCGGGAGTGAGCCCACACAAGTGCCCCTATACCAAGCGGCTTGCTATGGGGTAACTCGTGGGGGGGGGGTGCTGGTGGGGGACCCAAGAAGAGGAGGATTCGGACTGCTCTATGAAAAACCATTGCACGGAGCAGGTGATTATGACATGTTTGTTATTTTAAAGACAAACACATTTTTAGGTTTACAATCACCTTATGTGAATGACCTTTGTCATCATAGAATACATTTTAAATACAGTATGTGGTGTATCAATTTGAGCTAACTTTCATTTGCAAATGACTATCATTAACCTTTAGGATCCTGATGAGAATGAAGATGTTATAGAGAACGAGGAACATAGAGAGCAAGAAGTGGTCACCCAGAGTCAGGTGAGAAATTAACTATCCAGAGGTGTCTAGCCAGTGCCTTGTGTGCCATATATGACTCTCAGCTTTCTTGCAACTGTTGCCAGGCTTTCATCTGGTGCTTGGAGCCTATTTGAGCTCCTCTTGCTTTATACATCTCCACAATTCATGCAATTTATGTAATTCATATAATTGAATTAAGCAACTTATTATTAACTGATGTTTTTGAATACATTTTGTACTTTGTAGGTCAGGTGGCATAGACACTTAGTATGTTTGTACATTGCAAGTTAAAGCGGAGCTCTACCCAAAAGGGGACATTCTGCTTTAAAGACTGGTCCCCCGCTCCCCATTAAGGATTGGCACCATTGGGGAGGGGAGCAAAATTGACAGGTACCCCGCTCCCACTTCCGCTGTGATCGCCTAGGCAATCAGAAGCGGAAGTTGTCCTCCTACCTTCCCTCCCCGTAGACTTCTTGGACATGTGTCAGGTCCCAGAAGACTACAAGGCCATTCAGGAAGCGCAGCTCTACTCGTGCATGCGCAGTGGGCACCTGGCTGTGAAGCCGCAAGCTGTGACAGCCGAGTGCCCACACTGAAGATGCCAGGGCCTGGAACACCAGACGGCTGGTGAAACAGGCTGCAGGGAGGACACCATGGGATCGTGGGACAGGTGAGAGGCTGTTTTTTAAAAGTCAGCAGCTACAATTTTTGTAGCTGCTGAGTTTTATTTTTTCACAGTGCGACTGGAACTCCACTTTAAGGTGAATTATTTTTGCATTTCAAATAGCATGGAGTGACGCATAACATCCATTTTCACTCACTGCATAAATACTCGATCCATCACTTGGACATGGATTTGCTTAATCAGTCTGACCATAGACCCTAGATCCACATCATCAGAAAGCCCACACAAACACAAAAAAGCAAGAATGAAAGCAGGGTACACACACAGTGAGTTGAACAAAAAACCAAAAAAAAACCTCACAGATCCCCATATTCACACAAGTGAAGAGGATGCAGGGATCTTCCCCACTGCACTATTGTATTCTGACGACAGGGACCCCCACCTGTCAGATTACACTGATCAGCGCTGCATCCATTGGCTGCATGCACTGATCAAATGTTGATTTTTTAGCAGGGTTGTTCGACAGAAACTGATTGTTAGACAGACAGGGGTACCAAAATTCAGCTGGTTCAGCAATTTCACTACATATATACCTGGTTTTAGTGTAATGTACAAGACATACTGCTTTACTGAGCATTAGATACTAAAAAGCAAACAAGTCACAGATCTGTGAGCATGAAATGGCTGGTATAACCATATAATCTTTCATGCTCAGTAAAGTTGGTAAAATTACATCAAATGCCTTTATAGGTGATCACTGGTTTGATATTTTTATGACTGAATATAGATAATTGCATTTTAACATCTCTGAAATTCATTGTCTTATTTTACAGGATTTGAGGATATCTGAAGGAACTTGTACAGACAGGTATGTTCTGGTCAGTCCGGTGTTGTGACATATAAAATGAACATGTTCATAGAACATGTTTATCTGATTTCATCTGTTTATGTTCAACTGGTGCTTAGGGGAGCATGGCTGATTTCAGACTAAGGATGTCCTCTCTCTAAGAATTTTATTGTTCAGTCTCAAAGGCTGAAGAAAAGAAGTCTATTGACTTCCCCATCCATGTTAAACAGCATGGTTGGAGAAATATGCCCTGCTTGCTTTTGTATTTTGACAACCGGCACCAATGGCTTATAAATATCAGTGTATAGACGAGTGTACAGGTTGGTAAGGCATTAAACTGGTTAAGGTGAAAAACACATCTGAACAGGTTTAAGAATGAGGTAGAGTCTCCCCAGGATGGCACGGGGTACAGTAGATGTGGATACGGTCTCATTTTGTACATATGTTGGCCATATTTGCATTCAGTGTGTTAGAGCAGGAGGTGATAAATTTAGTGGCTTAAACCAGTTGTGGCTGGGAAGGGTGAGAGTGAGAATAATTCTCTTAGAGTGAGTGTCCAGTGTGGTGGGCTTATTCCCTTACACATTTTGAAGAACCTAGAGCATATTAAGAGTCTATTTCTTCTTCCTAGTTTGGGGGATTGAGGTGGAGAGAGAACAGTTGTAGGAGAAGGTGGTAGGGATTAGAGGGGGATGTGGATGAAAGGGTGGGTATGGGTGCTATAGAGAACCTTAACAACAAAACAGTGAAAATAAATTATAATAAAATGGGAGGGGGCTACAGATAGCCCCGGGGGTTGTGGTTGTACCTCTGGGCTGTCCTTCATTACTTGGTTTTGGTTCCTGTTTTATTGCCTGGCCACATATGCTCTACTTGGCCCCTATGGCCAAGGTGCATACTAAGAATCCTTTGTCTGCTTCCTTTCCTCTGTCTAGTGGAATGAGACACAGCTTTTTGAACCTTTTCTGGAAATAGTTAATTGGGAGAAATCTCTGATCTTTCTGCTTAGCTCTTCGCATCCCAAACTGGATTTGAACACCCTGATTTGCTGAGTGGACAGTTTTGTATACCTTGGGATACAGGTTGGCAGCTCCCTGGTGACTCATATGGATCATAACCTATCTTAATGTATATGATCTTCGCTGGAGTCCATTTTATACAATTGAAGTTTTTCCAGAGTTTATTTTACCCTGCAACGGCTGGTTGCAATTTCCCATTTGACTAATCCTCCTTGTAGACATTGCCAATCCTCTGTAGGCTCCTTTCTGCACATGATATCAACATGCCCCTCCATCAGATCTTTTTGGGTGGTGGCTAGGGTTGCCTCATCCCTTTAAAACTAAACATATACAGTGCATCTAGAAAGCATTAACAGCGCTTAACTTTTGCCACATTTTGTTATGTTAGCGCCTTATTCCAAAATTAATTAAATTATTTTATTCCTCAACATTTTACAAACAATACCCCATAGTGACAACATAACAGAAGTTCGTTTTGAAATCTTGATGCACTATGGTGTCCGTTTATGACACAGAGAATAGCTGCGATTCAACAGATCTCAGCTATTCTCTGGTCATTCACAGTTTATGACACTCAGGAGATCATGTCAGACCTTCTCTGGAGATCTGTGTTCTCCCTCCAGATTCTCCAGCCCAGAGCTGGAGAATCGGAGGGACCGAAAACTAAGCAAAGATAATTTACCTCTGCTTAGTAAACTGATCTTTTACTGTAATCTCGCGAGATTATAGTAAAATGAGCCGTTTTCCAGAGTTTGTAGACCGTTCTCCAGCGTTTGGAGACCGTTCTCCCTTTGTTCGGAGAACTGCTTCATAAACTGCATTCACAGGAGAACTGTGTTCTCCGAGAATGCCGGAGAACTGAACAGCGATCTATTACCGCTGGTTCATAAACGGACACCTTAATTATAATTATATACACAGGTTCTGTGGCTGATTAAGGTGTTAATTAAACTCACCTAGAGCCTTAACTGCATTAAATTAGCCTCAGAATCTGTGTAATTAATATATGTTCAGTTTTAAAGGGATAGGGTGGCAACGTTAGCAGCAGTGGTGGCAGAGCTTAATAGGTTGTGCCATTCAATCCTCAGTTTGAACCTTAAATTACTCCTGTTGGGTATTTTAGACAAAGTGGATTTAGGTTGTCATGTTAAGTTGTTTATTTTCTTTGCTGATTTCTATGCCTGCAGAGAGATTATTTTAAAGTGGAAGTCACCTCACCCTCCTACTCTGACTTCATGGCGTGCTTCTATGATAACGCTGTACAGACACATAGGTTAACCAACTATTGATAACGCTGTACAGACACATAGGTTAACCAACTATTGATAACGTGTACAGACACATAGGTTAACCAACTATTGATAACGCTGTACAGACACATAGGTTAACCAACTATTGATAACGCAACACATAGTTAACCAACACAAGTAGGAACTGTTTGAAAACACTTGATAAGATAGGCTTCTCCTGGATAGAATCTTGTGGTTCTAATCAATCCATTTATCCAGGAAAGTGAAATTATTCTGCCTATAGACTCTTTATCTGGTGTATATCATTGTTTTCTTGCGTTACCCTTCTCCCTTTTCCTATCCGCTATGCCTCTTTCCTTCTACTCTGTGCATCTTTTCTCCCACGTCCCCTATTTCATTTCCCCTATTCTACCTCTCTAGCTTTCCACAGCTTTGAGTGTCCCAATGTCACCTCACAATTTCCCATGCAGATCATCTCTTTCCTTGTCTAACATGGTTTTGGATATTCCTTCTCATAGCCTGTACTTCACCATTTTGGCTAAAATATTTATCAAACCTTCTCAGACGTAGCTCTCTCACAAGTGATTTTGCACATAGTTAAGGTGGTCTATACTTAGATCAGACAAATACAAACAGTGCAGCACATTATCCTATAGTAAATGACAGGGGAGATATATTTGCTCAAGTAACATTTTCTACTTGTTAAAAAAGGAAGGGGGATGGGAACAGCTAGAAATGTGACATGCAGGTTTTCTTCTACTTTTAACTGGTGATCCTGCCAAGAACACACTTCCTATCCTAGAGTGACAACTGTACCGTATCTAGGAAGAGCATAGTTGTCACCCTAGGAAGGAAGTGTGTTAGGACTATAAAACATCTCCCTCTCTCCATAACATAGGGGGAAGTGCTTTGTAGTCAACAGAGGTGGGAACAATACTAACTGATAACTTTCCATGGAAGAAAAGAGAACAGGAAGTTATCGGTGCACAGAATTTTTTTTTGCACTTGTTGAACAGGCATAAGAAACCCTTTCATTTGTACATTGCTTACATACATTTTAAGTATAGATAAAAAGCTGACTGTATAGTGTGAATTGTGTGGAATTTGGTAGTTTGTATGGTTTACAGCACTAGCTTTTCATTCCCAGTTTAAATGCAGGTGTGCAGATTACAGGAGGTGAACATAAAGACAAATATTGCTATAGTACTACCAGTGCCAGGACAAGGTTATCTAGAGCCCAGAGCAAGCACACCAAACTGTACCTCCCAAGATATATAAGCATTATGTGTCAGCAACCCCCCCCCCAAAAAAAATAAATAAATTGAGCACTAATCTGCATGCTTACTCCCTAAGCATAAATTCCCCCTCCTCCCAGTACAAATATCCCCCCCCGCCGCTGAAATCACCCTGCCAGCACAAATATTTGCCCCCCCATCTCCCCTCCAAGCTCAAATCCTCTCTCCGCAAATCCCCTCCCCCCCAAATAAAAAAAATCATCCTTCCTAGCACAAATCCTCTACTCCTCAAATGTCCCCTAGGTGTACAAACCCTCTCCCCCCCTCAAAAGTCCCCCTTCCAGCACAAATTCTCCCCCCAATCCCTCCTCCTAGCTCAATTCCTCCCCCCAAAATTTCCCCTACTAGCACAAATCCCCCCTCAAAAAAAAATTTCCACTCCTAGCACAAATTCCATTCCCGCTCTATCATATCGCCTCTTCTAGCGTAAAACCCCCCCCTCCCAGCACAAATCCTCTCCCCCCACCCCCACCTCCCAACACAAATCCCCCCCAAATCACCATTCTTAGCACACAGCCCAATTTCCCCTCCTTGAACAATTCGTATCACCTGCCTCTATGCAATTTCCCCCTCCCAACACAAATCCCTCCAATCTCCTGGCTGTGCTCCCCCACCTCATATGATGCCACAGTGCCTAGTACAGCCCACCCCTCGTCCCGGTCCTGGGTGCTATGGATAAATGGATAAATGCCAAATATGCTGCAGTCTGTCACTAGCATTAACAAATGAAGGGTGATTTACATTTGCCTACATTTTAATCAAGCTAACTTTGGCACTCTATAGCCCCCAACGCTTTCCCATGTGTTATGGAGCACACATGTAATCTGCTGTATCATTTTAGGATAGATGTTCATCCACTTGGTCCTGCTCCAGACAGTAGAGCTAACAACCTGAAAGAAAAACAGTCATGGATGGAGGAACTGCAGAAGGTATGCACTTGAGACCTTGATAACCTTAAATAGTAGGTGCACATTCAGACCAAGTACATTTACCTGACCTGCCATCTTTAGAAATATCTAGAGGATATCTAGATAATGATATGTTATTTTAGAAGATGATTTCGGCACTACAGTATATTTTTTTATTAAGTAAGGCTGGCCATACTTTCTTCAATTTTCTTACAATATTCTGTACAATTTCCTTTAGATTTACCTTCAACTATGTGGTGCAAGGGCTTGCCTAACTGATTACAACTGAAAGTGTTGTTTAGGTTTGACCTCATATTATATACTTTTGCTAAATCTAAAGGAAAATTGTACAAGAAATTTGTATAATGTATGGCCAGCCTAAGTGAAGTAATGGTAAGGGTGCATTCACACCTGCCAATGCACCGTGCTGCAGATTGGATGCGAGAACCTTAGCCGGAGTTAGCTGTGAGAGGCAGCCCCATTGAAAGCAACGGGAGGCTGCAGGCACATGCAGCTAATTGCAGCCACTCACATGTAATCATTGCCCACGTCCAGGGCTGATCACTCAAATGTGATCGCTGCATGAGCAATTACATGCGAGTGGCCATGATTAGCTGCGAGAGCTGGTTGCTTACATTACTTTCAATACGGCTGCCTCATGCAGCTAATTACGGGACCCCTGCTGGGGTTCTCGCATCTAATCAGAGGCAGAGTGCTTTTACGAATTGTGAACATGCTTATACTGGGGGCTACTTGAAATGGTTGCAAGCCTCAGACATGAACAAAGCATATCCTTCTGTAGTGTGTACTTGTCTCAATTAAGAGCACTAAGTGTAATTTCTGTCTGCTGCTTCGTGCCTCTGCTGTCAGCAGTCACTTCTGAAACGTTTTCCTGACACCAAGAGAAAAATGATGACAGGAGGGACCTCAAGCAGATTGAGACCCTCATCTCTGTTCCTGTGTGCTGTATGAAGGGGGTTGTGTCCCTTTCCTCCAATCAGCTCTAAGATCTCCCCACACTGAGCTCTGTAATTTCAGTTCTTTTTTCTGAACTCTCGGACATGCTTTATAAATATCAGTACTTTGAACGGACATAGAGAAGATAAGACTGCAGATAAACAAGTACAATTTCTGTAGGAGGATTGGTTTCATCTCTGTCCATCACTTGAGGCCAGTCACTTCTTTGGGTATATGTTAGGGTTTACAACTACTTTAAATTGGAGCATGGCAGATAATTCAACAAATCAACTTTTTTTTCTAAACCTGAACTTTAATAATTGTGAATATTAAGAGGCAAGGCTTGTATTATCAGTAGAGTTGTATTATACCTGTTTGCTTCAGGTTGTGTAATGGGAATTGTAGAGCCGATTGGTGCTGTGAGCTGTGTTTGTGTTTTATTAGGCAGTTAGAGGACAGAGACAAGATAATCTTATATTGACCTCCCAGCTGAATGACAAGGATGGATCGCTGCTGCAGCTGCAAATAGAAATGAAAACATTGACTCAGGTGAGAATTCTGTAAAATCAGGCTTGGAAACACATTTGCACATTGGACAGAGCTAGACTTAAAACAAACCTGTGTTTTTTACCCATGCTTCTTCACCTTGCTGCTTCTCCGGCCATTAGAATTGAAGGAAATGTCTGATGCTTCTGGGTATGAAGCATGTGAACCCATGCCCTCCTTCCCATGTAACAGTATTGCTGCTAGGTGATTGGCCCAGCTAGGTCACATGGTCCTTAGCTGGAGCTTACAATGGGCTTCTTTTCTTACTCTCGGTGGCGGAATGAAGCAGCGAGGAAGCAAAGGAGAGAATATGCTGCTGGGGAGAAGTCTGTGCATGTGCTTTGAAATGCATTACACATCCTGATCAAGACTGACAATTAAGCCTTATAATTCATTAGGGGAACAGAGTCTAATTCTCCACGTTTCTCTTTTTACTTTGGACATAATGTAACTAAAGTGCTTAAAAATGCTTGATAGAAATGTAAAGGTCTAGTTAGACCTATGCATTGTGGTAACGTGGTAAAACATGCATTTTAGTGCAAAATACCAAAATACATGTCTTGCATTGACTTTCATTTTGTATGCCATTCAATACATTGTAGAACATCACAGAACATACTAATGTAGCACCAAGCGTTGCTTGCAGTGTGCTACATAAACCCATGAAAAATCAACTGAACACAAACACTGAACCCTACTGAAGTCTATGGAAGCTGAATCATACTTGTTCTGGCCTATTTCAATGCCAGTTTGCAAGCTTTTGGGTGCTAGAGTTTGAATTTGTCAGAAGTGTGGACCCATTGTATAAGGTGGTAGAGGGACTTTTCACAGCAAGAAGAAATTCTTCACTGCAAGAATGAATACTAACACAGAGATTATTTTATACAGAGACATTTTCAGTAGTATTTATTATTCACAGTCATGTTTTGTCTTTGTTTTTATGGCATATTGTATAAGCGCTGTTTATTTTGTGGTTGGTAATATTCTCTAGAGAGTGCAGTTAAATTTATCCTGCCATTAAAGCATATCTTAGTGGGGAAAAACAATTCACACAAACACCACAAACACTCTCCATCCACTATTTACCTTTAGTAATGCTGAAACAGAGTTTGCCAAATTATATTTATCCACCCCTGCACATATGCATTTAGGCTGGGAGTAAGGAAAATTAAAATCTTTTTAGAATTAGCTGTCTTTTAGACTAGGGGTCTCCAAACTACGGCCTATTGTCCAGATATGACCTGCAACAATATTTTATCTGGCCCACAGATTGGGGATTCAGGTCAGCAGAGGCTGCTTGTGGTCCCTGATTCAACCTGATATAAGGGAGACTCTGATGAGGACCGATATGAGGGGACTCAATGTAAAGCTGGACTATGATGGGGGAACTTGATGTAAGGGGGCCTTTGATGGGCGCCCTGATGCGAGGAGCAACTCTGATGTAGAGATATAAAATTTCCAGAAATTTTGAAGCCATGAAAGAAAAGTTTTTGCACCCGGGTTTTCCAGAAAAAAATAGAATTTTTTTTTTAAATTCAGTGTGGAGTAGTATTATAAATCGAAAGTAATTTTGTTACAGTGGGAACATGAAATGTAGTGTATGTAAAAGTATTGTATATTATAGGTAGTTATTAAGAGGTTGTTAATTAAGTTATCGTGTCACCCAATGTTTGGTTTCCATTCAGTAGCCAAAAAAGGCATTCAAAAAAGGGGGGTTTGTGAAAAGAGATTCACAGAAAAGCGGCTACATTATGAACAGACCGTGACACTCAGAAAATTTTCCAAAAATTATGCTTTATTACACAGATATAAATATGACATATGGGCATTCGCCCTGGTTTACCATCACCTCAGTATGAGACAATAACACACAGACCTAAAACCATATAAAATGACATCAAGACCGGTCTAAATGTATGTGCAACAGAAAAAGTGACTGCAAGAGTCTAATATCTCTGTAGTACAAACACATAGGTAAACACTTCCCTGAAGAGGTGTATCCAAAAGTTATACCATAGGTATACCATAATATTAAATAATGAATTTACACCAATGTCATAATGGTGAATCCCGAACAGGGAATCCAAAAATTATACTATGGATATACGTATATCACATGTATGAAAAGCGGTAAGCACAATAAGCGTAAAGAGGGGAACAGTAAGCCTCAGGCCTGTTTGGAAAAAGACATAAATGTCACATATATGATGCAATACATTCCTATGCCGGCACACGTGGTTGGGGCCCGTTCATCTGTTATGTGAACAGCTGTATCATAAAGCTCTTGAATGGAAATAAGCCCCATTTATTCCCAGGATGGGAGAAAAGGTGCAGATTGCAGCACTCTGCTTGAAATGGTGTCTTCACCACTGTATGTGGACTACACACCACCCTTTGTAGGAAAAGCAAAACATATCCCAAGGAATCTTCTGCCTGTTGAGCTATATGCGGTATGTCCTGTATCCTACACAAAGCACCATAATGTCCCCATCCACCTGTGCCGTGGATAAAGGGAATGAAAGAAATGTCCTTCATGGATATTGCCAAACACGGCCACAGAGGCCCAGGAACCACCGCTGACATCCGCCGATATACCGCGGGTTCCAGAGGGGGCTGGAACCCGCGGTATATCGGCGGATGTCAGCGGTGGTTCCTGGGCCTCTGTGGCCGTGTTTGGCAATATCCATGAAGGACATTTCTTTCATTCCCTTTATCCACGGCACAGGTGGATGGGGACATTATGGTGCTTTGTGTAGGATACAGGACATACCGCATATAGCTCAACAGGCAGAAGATTCCTTGGGATATGTTTTGCTTTTCCTACAAAGGGTGGTGTGTAGTCCACATACAGTGGTGAAGACACCATTTCAAGCAGAGTGCTGCAATCTGCACCTTTTCTCCCATCCTGGGAATAAATGGGGCTTATTTCCATTCAAGAGCTTTATGATACAGCTGTTCACATAACAGATGAACGGGCCCCAACCACGTGTGCCGGCATAGGAATGTATTGCATCATATATGTGACATTTATGTCTTTTTCCAAACAGGCCTGAGGCTTACTGTTCCCCTCTTTACGCTTATTGTGCTTACCGCTTTTCATACATGTGATATACGTATATCCATAGTATAATTTTTGGATTCCCTGTTCGGGATTCACCATTATGACATTGGTGTAAATTCATTATTTAATATTATGGTATACCTATGGTATAACTTTTGGATACACCTCTTCAGGGAAGTGTTTACCTATGTGTTTGTACTACAGAGATATTAGACTCTTGCAGTCACTTTTTCTGTTGCACATACATTTAGACCGGTCTTGATGTCAGTTTATATGGTTTTAGGTCTGTGTGTTATTGTCTCATACTGAGGTGATGGTAAACCAGGGCGAATGCCCATATGTCATATTTATATCTGTGTAATAAAGCATAATTTTTGGAAAATTTTCTGAGTGTCACGGTCTGTTCATAATGTAGCCGCTTTTCTGTGAATCTCTTTTCACAAACCCCCCTTTTTTGTATGTAAAAGTATTGTACTTGAAAAAAACCTACAGCTTATTCAGTAAATAAACTAAACTTGCTTTTTAAAATTTTTGATGATTCAGAAACAGCAGAAAGAGTGTTTCTAGAATGAGAACATGGGAGGGAAATGCTACTTGTATTTTCATTATTTAATTTCATAAAGCATTTTTAATGTCTTAAGGACACCTCTGGCATGCAAAGATGTTTTTCTGATTCTTGTAGCATTTGGAAAAGAATATTTCTTTTCACATCATTTGCAAATTGTAGCTTTGCTCTTAGCAGGAATTGCACTGTGGAAATGTTTCTAAACTCTAGATTTTTTTCTCACCATTTTACTGAGAAGAGAAAAAGAAAAAAAAAATTTACTGACCACACTATAAGGAAACATTATGCTGTGACGGTGGAGAACATTCATAAGAATCATTTAACGGTTTTAAAGATAAACTAATTTTCCTGACAAATTTATCCTCTTACCTGTCATTTAAGGCCTGAGAGGACAGAAATGATCATCTATTCTATATCCCAATAATCACCCAACTGTAGGAGGCACAAGATGGATCCCACAACCACCTAAACTGGAGTCTTTCCCCTGTAGTGCCCCCCTAATGGCAAAAATGCATATTTATTTTGTTTGAGAACTACATTGAGAAGTACAGTGTTACTTGAATTATATTCCAAGATTTGTTGGTCTTCAGCTGAGAGAAATTGCAGTAATTAAGACTTTACATAAAGTCTCAGAAATCTCTCATTAATATCTTCATGTTAAATAGTATGAATACCAAGTCATAGATATATTACTTATCCTTGGAAAAATTCAACCCTTTTTTTGTCAAGGCCTTCCCATCTCTGCTCTGATGCAAGGGAGCCTCTGATGGGAACCCTGATGTACAGGGGACTCTGACAGGGACCCTGATGTACAGGGGACTCTGACAGGGACCCTGATGTGAGGGTTGACTCTGTTGGGGACTGTGATGTAAGAAGGGACTCATTTATTCATAAGAACTTATTTTTTTCCCTGCAAATGTCACTAAAATGTACAATGCGGCCCTTGTGCTGAAAAGTTTGGAGACCCAAGCTTTAGACAGAAGCAACAAACAGTGCCATGGCCATTATTATAGATACATTACAAACCTTACCTTGGTCTAAAATTCTATCATCAAATGCATTAAAATCACCACGTTACCTAAAATGGGAGTAAAGTAGAATGATGTAGTACAGCAATGCCTGGAGGAGAAATGAAAATGCTACATTATGCAGGTATAATTTACATTTTCTGTTTTATTGGATTTTAATGTCTAGGTCAAAAAGGACAGTTAAATCCAAATCCAGTCTACCCATGCCACACCCCAAACATGTTACTGTCTGGACAAAATGCAGACCTTGCTGTCTCAAGCCTCAATATAAAATGTGACTGTGTTCAAATTAGAGACAACTCTGGGGCCTGTTCTTTATTGGTTAAAATGATTAACCCATTTCATGTTTCCTAATAAATTGTCAACCTGTAAGATCCCTGGTGTAGAAAAAGGGGTTTGGCTGGGGCTTGTAAAGGTTATCGGTGTTGACCTTTGCGACTTATGATAATGTCAGCGATCAAAACCAACATATTGCTAAATTCAGAGCTAACTGCACAGAGCTTGCAGCATCCCAAATAACTGAAAGGAAGGTTTAATGAATACAAAATATTCAACTGCCTCACTGTTAAAGGCTGACCAGATGATTAATGTAATTGTTAGGAATCATAGCGGGCACTGTTAGCCAAACATCTAAGGGTTTATCTATATTATGTGGTTGTATTTCTGGGCCTCTTGCCAGCTTGAAGGATATCCTGTACGGGAAGAGCAATATCCAGGCCACTCTCTGGAGCAGGCAGTCTCTGGGGTCCTTACCATATATAGAAGAGAGCTGCCTGGATGCTAATTTTAGCAAAAACGCGGCAGCTTACCTTTTACATCAAGGTCGTTGTGATGAAAGTCTAGTTTAATTTAAAAAATTAGTGACCTGGGACTCAGCACCTATTTGAGCTATTGATTAAACTACTGCTGCTCTGATTTATGAAAATAAGCTCTAATAAAGATAAAGACCATAGAGCAGCCCTATCTATGGCATTTTTTTCAATGCGAACGTGGGGAAATGCAGTTCCGGCACCTCCTGCACTGAATGTATATAATGAAAATGGAGTGCCTTTGGGGACCTTGATGTAAGGGAGGTTCTTATGTAAGATGGCATGGTTCTGGGGACCCTGATGTAAAGGGGCGGGGGTAGCTCTGGGGACTTTGATATAAGGAGGGGGGCTCTGAGGACCCTGATGCAAAGGGGGCACTCTGGTGTAAGGAGAGGGGACCCTGGTGTAAGGGGGGATCACTGGGGACTCTGAAGTAAGGAGGAAGAAGCCTGGGGATCCTGATGTTGGGAAGAAACTTTGGGGTCCCTGATGAAATGGGGGAAGCAGGGACTATAGAAACCCTGATGTAAGTGGGGACCTCAATTTAACTGGGAAGCTGCAGAGATCTTAATGTAAAGGGGGGCTCTTGGGGCACTGATGTAACTAGGCAAACCCTGAAGGTAGATGGCTCTGAGGACCCCAATGTAAGGGGGGTAACTCTGGATACCCTGATATAAAAAGGAGAACTCTAGGGACCCTGGTGTAAGGGTGGTTCAGGGGACCCTGATATTGAGGGATGACACGGGGGACCCTGATGTTGGGGGGAACTCTGGGACCCTAATTTAAGGGGAAGGACTCTGATGTAGAGGGGGGACTTTGATCACTTGTAGAACTCTGCCTCAACTACTACTGACCTCTGAACTCTGCCTCACTTACTAATAGCCCCTGTCCTCCTCTATGCTGACCCTGTACACTGCCCTTCCGACCCGTGTCCTCTGCCAAGCTGAACCCTGTAGGCTGCCCTAAAAACTAATGGGCTCTGTACACTGCCTCACAAACTGCTGACCCTATCGTCTGCCCTGCTGGCTCCCTGTACACTGCCCTGCTGACCTCCCATCCTGTGCCCCCCTGACATTTTTTTACTGCAACGCCACAACAGACAAGCTAGATCCGCCCCTGTTGCTCCGGGGTATTTTGTTGTGAAGGGTCTATTGTTGCTAGGGAATCTATTGTTGCTGGGGGGGGGGGTTCTATTGTTCCTGGCTGCAGGGAATCTGATCAACCTTCTTGACTCTTTACAGTCTGGCTTTCGCTCACTACACTCCACTGAAACTGCCCTACTAAAACTCACTAATGATCTACTAACAGCTAAAACCAATGGCCACTACTCCATACTCTTACTACTTGACCTCTCTGTTGCTTTTGATACGGTTGACCATCCCCTCCTCCTCAAAAAACTCCACTCTCTTGGCCTCAGAGACTCTGCTCTCTCCTGGTTCTCCTCCTACCTATCGCAGCGCTCCTTTAGTGTTACCTATAATGCTGCCTACTCCTCTTTGCTCCCTCTTTCTGTAGGGGTCCCTCAATGTTCTGTCCTTGGACCCCTTCTCTTCTCCATCTTCACCTCCTCCCTTGGTCACTTGATCAACTCCCATGGCTTTAACCACTTCCCGACCGGCCGTTGTATATAAACGGCCGGACGGTGGCACTGCAGGGTCGGGTGGCCGTCTATAAACGGCCTCCCTGCACCCTGCTTGTGCGCGCTCCCTGGGAGCGCGCAGCACCGCGATCCGGTGCCCGCTGTGTCCTCCGGACACAGTGAAACACCGATCGTCGGACGGGACCTCTGTACGAGGTCCCGATCATGTGATCACTAATTGGCGAATCAGTGATCACATGCAAAGTAGTAAGCAAGATGTCACTTGTGACATCATTGCTTACTACGTGTGAAATCTGTGAATGATCACAGAGGTCACATGGTACAAGGCTATTCACAAAAGCCTTGTACCATGTGACAAGCTGTGACCAATCACAGCTCACTCTGTATTTCTCAATGAGTGCAGGAATGCACACAGAGAGAAAGAGAAATGATTGCTTTTACATCCTATATGGGTGTAAAAGCAATCAGTGTAAAAAAAAAAAAAAAAAAAAAAAAAAATCTTTATCACCCCCCACAAGTAGTACAGTGTCACCACAGTGACACTGTACTGCTAGGGTGACAGTATGTAAAAAAAAAAAAAAAATAAAAATAAAAAATAATATAAAAAAATAAAATAAAAATGTAAAAAAAATGTTTAAAAATTATAATTTTTGCTTATAAACGAATTTGGATTTTTTTTTTTTTTTACTAAAAAAATAACGGAATAAATTTTGGCTAAGATTTATGATGAAATATTATTTATTTGCAAAATTTTATAAAAAAAAACACTTTTTTAAAATTTTTTTGGACATTTCATTTACATAGCAAAAAAAATACAAATCCCAGTGGTGAATAAATACCACCAAAATAAAGCTTTATCTATCTAAAAAAAAAATGGTAAAAAATTCATTTGGGTACAGTGTTGCATGACCGCGCAATTGTCATTCAAAGTGTGATAGCGCTAAAAGCTGAAAATTGCCCTGGTCAGGAAGGGGGTAAAAGTGTCCGGTCTGGAAGTGGTTAAGTACCATCTCTATGCTGATCTATCTATCTTTCTACCCCTCACCTCACCCCTTCAGTCTCCTCTCGCATTACTAACCTACTAAGTGACATATCGGCATGGATGTCACTCCACTTCCTCAAACTCAATCTTTCCAAAACTGAGCTCTTAGTATTTCCTCCAGCCCGTGCCCCCTCCCCTGACTTCTCCATCAAGATCAATAACACAATCATCAGTCCCTCCCCTCATGATAGGGTACTAGGTGTAATCCTAGACTCCCATCTGTCCTTTCAGTCCCAAATCCATTCACTGTCCAAATCTTGTAGACTTCACCTCCGCAACATCTCCAAGATACGCCCGTTCCTAACCTTGGAAACCACTAAGCAACTCATTCACTCCCTTGTTATCTCTCGCCTTGACTATTGTAACTCCCTCCTCATTGGCTTACCTAATCGCAGGCTATCCCCTCTTCAGTCTATCATGAATGCTGCTGCCAGACTCATCCACCTTACTAACCGTTCTGTATCTGCCACCCCTCTCTGCCAATCCCTCCACTGGCTTCCCACTGCCCAACGGCTAAAATTCAAAACATTAACAATAATGTATAAATCCATTTATAACTCTGCCCCAAATTACATCAGCAATCTTGTCTCCAAATATCACCCAAACCGTACTCTCCGCTCCTCGCAAGACCTCCTGCTCTCTAGCTCCCTTGTCTCCTCCTCCCATGCTCATCTCCAGGACTTCTCCAGAGCTTCACCCATCCTCTGGAACACTCTACCCCAATTTATCAGACTGTCGCCTACTCTGCTCACTTTCAGGAGATCTCTGAAAACCTATCTCTTCAGGGAAGCCTATCCTGCCCGCAGCTAATAATGGAATCTTCTACTCTTCCAACCAGTCCATCCCCCACAGTTACTACCTTTTGTACCACTAGCCCCTTCCTCCTAGATTGTAAGCTCCAAGGAGCAGGGCCCTCCTAACCCTCTTGTATTGAACTGTACTGTTGCTGTATTGTCTCCTGTTATATTGTAAAGCACTGAGCAAACTGTTGGCGCTGTATAAATCCTGTATAATAATAATTTACTGCCTTTCTTGTTATCAGTAACAAATAAACAAATCAAAGACAAAATCTATTTATATAATTAAATGGTTACTACTTGGTAAGATAGAATAAAAACACCAGTCCATCCAAGTAAACCTAAGAGTGTGTGGCTACAATTTTTAGTATCCCTGTACATTATGCTACGAAACACATTTAGAAGTTTTTTTTAATTGATCTACTTGCTCTGTTGACACCACCAACAGTGGAAGGGACTTGCACATCTTTACCACTCTAACAGTAAAGAACTCCTTTACGCAGTTTAATATTGAACCACTTCTCATCCAACTTCACTGTGTGGCCATGTGTTTCTAATAAAGCAAGAAGGGCTCATCCAGGTCTCCAGCAACGTTGTGACTGGTTATTATGCTGCATCATTGTCCAATGAACAAATTGGAAGCAGAGAGGTGACACAGAAAGCGGTCTTTCTGAATTAGGAAAAAAAATAAACCACCTGTCTGTACAGTGTGGCAGGTGTGAGTGTGTCATAAGACTGGCTGAACAGAATTCCAAATTCTTCAACATATATAACCATAAGCATATACAGAATGTACAAGATACGGAATGTAAAAGATAAAAATGCTTCTGTAACACTTGAGGTGAGGGTCTGCTTACTTCCCACACTGTCCTAGATTCTTTTTCTTTTGGACATTAGGAAACATTTTGGGAAGAGGACATAAAAATAGAGGAGGGGAGTTGATGCACATGTAAATTCATGGTTTTAAAGCTGTACCAATTCTCATGACAGAAAATGAAGAGAGCTGAGGATGAAAAAATGAAACTGAAAGAAGAAAACCAAATGCTTAAGATGATGGACCAACTGAACAGTTAAGACCACAGCCTGGGACCTCTCTCCAAATGGTGATATTAAAAGCTGTTCATCCACCAGTTCCAATAATTCAGTTTGCAGTCGGGACAGGACTGCAATGAGTTGATGAATCTGAAGAGACGACACACAGGTTGTATGGTGAATGAGCTGAACTTAGGAGAACCCAGGAAATTCTTGGACAAATGGGTTTAAAGACGATGTGGACGAAAAACAAAGTTGATGCAATTTTCAAAGTGCTGCTTGGTCTACACAATTGCTATTGAGGTTTATTTATTTCCACAGGGCTTTTGGCTTGTTCTTCCAGTCAAAGAGCAGTGCACTGCATAGGAGTATAGCTACAGCCTTTGCATAAGCGTCAGCACATACAGACATTGCCCAATGATGGGGTAATCTCACAACCATACTTTGCTGCATCAGCAGATATAGGAATATGACATCACAAGGTTTGCCTAAATGCACTGATTCAAATGCCATTCTTGTACCTTCACATTAAAGTGGACCTTGTACTTTGAGCTAGGTCCATTTATTTACTGAAGACTCCCTCACCCTTATAGAACAAATGCAATAGGATCAAAAGGACTGCACACTTGAAAATTGCATCCGCTTTATTAATAATCTTCAAAACAATACATACAGCAAAAGTAGACACCGTAGGAGCAAGGAAACAGACAGCATGTTTCGCAGTGTTAGCACTTATTCATGAAGAAGCGCTAGCAGCATGAAACATGTTGACTGTTTCCTTGCTCCCACGGTGTCTACTTTTGCTGTATATGGCATTTTGAAAATTATTATTAAAGTGGATGCAGCTTTCAAGTGTGTAACCCTTAGGATCCTACTGCATTTTTTTTTCCATATGGCTGGCTGAGTGATACTTGCACCTGAATACACAAGAGGTGAAAGGGACTGTGTGGCAGATTCACCTGTAATAGCAAATAGCAACATACACACTCCTTCTCCCTTACTATCATGCCAAAAAAAGATAGTTACATGAGGTTCATTCATTGCTATTGCAGTGCAAAGTCGACTTCAAGTGGTAGTTGTTTTTACTATTTTTCATAACATACTTGACTCCTTGGCTGCCCATACACGAGTAGATTTCCAAATTTATATTCTTACAAAAATTCTCAGTACATTCAAAGATTATGTAAATATTGTTCAAAAGTACTTTAATTTTTTTCTAGTTTTACATTTGATTTTGGAATAAATGTAATTTGCCTAATAAAAACCATGTACGTTTTCAGAAATGTGTTTATCCGAGAAAAACTTTCCATTCTGCATCCTGAATTTCCTTGTCACAATTCTCAAAAATGAACATCAATTTGACTCCACTAATCATTAGAGAATTAAACAAACGTTCTTAAAACGAAATGTTTCAATAAAAATTGTACTAGAGTATGGCCAGCTCTACTCATTAAAGCTGGCCATACATTATAAAGTTTTCTTGTACAATTTTCTTTTAGATATTTTCAAAACCATATTATATGAGGTTAGACCTAAACACTTTCAATTTGTATGCAGTCATGCAGGCCCTTGCACTACACAGTTGGAGGTAAATCTAAAGGAAATTGAACAAGAAAATTGTATAATGTATGGTCACCCTTAGGCAGTGTAAGAGAGAGGAAGGGATATAATGCACAAAGTGCCAACATCCCTAACTAATACAAGGGGGGGGGGAAAGTCCTCTTTTTTGGTGGGACTTTAACGGCATAATTTACTTGTATGATAAATTTCAACAATTCAAAAGAATTTTTTTATAAAAACAGTATGAAAGGTTATTTTTACAATCTTCAAAAATAAATATAAAGCTACAATACATATTGTGGCGGTGTTATCAGAGATGATATTGGAAATCTAATCATACTGTTTTTATTAAAAATTTCTTTTGAATTGTTGAATTTTATCATACAAGTAAATTGTGCCATTAAAGTCCCACCAAAAAAAAAAAAAAAAAAAAAAAGGGGACTTTTCCCCCCTTTTTAGGCAGTGTAAAGAGTGAAAAGTTGTGTAGACTTTAGTAACCAACAGCAATTAGTAAGGAACAGTATTGTAACCAATCTGACAGTAGTAAACTAAATTCTGATGCTTTGCTATGGGTTACCTTAATTTGTGCATCACCATTGCTCTTGATGAATTATGGAATTCTCCCAAAATGTAATTTATTTCACAGAATCCTGCTGTAGCAAACTTGGTAAGGCCTTAACCTGTTCCTGATCCATCCAAGCAGCGATGATCTAAGAAAGAACTATAAGATTCAATTAAGCACTATGCACTTTTTGCTCTTTGGCACGTATGGCATATTAACGTGTAATTTCTTGCTTTACATACCTTTTAACTGCTCCACTTCCAGGGATAATCCCCTGGTTTGAATGATTGTCTTTGGAAATGTGCGTGATTTCAAACACTAATCACAATTTGCAATAAAAGACCATGTTTTTCTGAATATTAAGCGTGTTTCTTTTTACTACTGATTTACATGATCTTGGCATATTAAAGTGCAATTATTCTAGAAAAATGAAAAACTCTGTAAAGCCTAAATTTAGATGAAATGTTTTTATTAAAACTCAGCACAAGGGATGGTACTTACATTTAAACTGAAGTGTCCCTCTTACAGTTTAAATCTTCAGTGTGAAATCACAGCCGCAACCTTCCAGTGCTGCAGGGGTTAATAGAGCTGAAGGACTTATCATAGGCACTCATCAAGAGTGTCTACTATGCCTGCCCTTTCTGCCTCCCTCCTACACTTATAGAAACTGTACCTCCATCAATGAAATGGAGGGGGCAAACATTTAAATCATCTGTCCGCCCTCCATTCATAGAACACGTTTCTTTCAGGAAAGCTATAGTATAACTTCTGTGAATAGAGAGGGATGCAGAAAGGGCGGGAATAGTCACTCTCCTTGAGTGCCTGTACCAGATTCTTCCGCTCTATAAACCCCTGTAGAACTGGCAGATTATAGATGCAGGGGTGTGGTGGAAGGGGTGCAGAGGACAGAGGTCTGGCAACTGGCACCAGCACAAGGAACACTTTGGATTTAATGTAAGTATAGACCCTTGTGCTGATCTGTCTGTGACATTCACAGATTTTTAAATCCTTTTCTGACACAACCTTGTCCTGGGCTCCATCCTGGAAATCAAGGTTGGTCAGAGACACTCAAGAGCAGAGACATTCAGCTTGCTCAGAAGCTCTGTTTGTTCACTGTGATGCTGCAGACAGGGTCACATTAAACACGTCCATGCCAGCAGAGATCCCTACCTCCTCTGATCATCAGGAGGTTATTGGTGATTCACTCCTGTGAGGACAACCCCAAGGCGGAGCCTACTGCAAGATTTGCAGTGATTGGGTGGGACTTGGGGAAGGGGTCTGGCCAGCCCCGGTGATCGCACCCAGCTTGTGGTGAGGTGCACCTGTGGGGATCTGCTCAAACTGTAAGGCTGCAGAGAGAGTGGATGAAGGTAAGGCTGTGGCGGCCCATTCTACTTGGATCATCATGTTGACAGGATGAATGATGGTGCAGCTGAGCTCAGAGTTCTGCAGTGAAATCTGTGGCAATCCAGCTGTAAAATACCATCCATCCATGCAGTTTACAACTGAAAGGAATGTGCAGCCAGCAAGGATATCATCTGCTAGAAATAAAGAGGTTAATCACAGTCTATAGCAGCGGTCACTAAATGGCGGACCGCAGTCCAAGAACAGCCCGGGCAGCACTCCCTTCTGGACCACCAGATTGGAGTGACAGTTCCGCCGCTTAGCAGGGCAGTCCTCAAGGCAACCGATGACATCACATGTGCACTCTGCCCCTTGCAGCTTACTGTCTCTCTATCTCCTGCTCCCTGCCTGTACACAAGTGTGCAGCTGATCCTTCAGCAAGGATCCCGGCACAGCTCCTGTCTCCCCTCAAGGTAGGGTGTTGTCTTACAGGGGCACTCTGATGGACGCATTTAATGTTAAAGGGTCATGCTGATGGGCACATTTAATGTTAAGGGTGTCCCTTAACATAAAATGTGTCCATCTACATGCCCCTTATTTTATTTTAAGGGGCAATCAGAAGAGCCCATTTTATGTTAAGGGACACTGACGGTTACATTTTATGTTAAGGGACACTCTGATGGACACCTTTTATGTTAAGGGGGCACAAATGGACATATACTGTGGAAAGGTGATGGGCACCTGATGGAAAGGGGCACTCTGATAGGGAAAATATGATGTAAAAGGGGCACTCTGATGGGGAAATATGATGTAAAAGGGGCACTCTGATGGGGAAATATGATGGAAAGGGGTATTTTGAGTGTAAGGGGGCACACTGATGGGAATACCTGATCTAAGGTGGCACTCTGATGGGGATACCTGATATAGAGGGGCTCTTTGATGGGCACACCTGATGTGATGGGAATACATGATATAAAGTTGCACTCTGATGGCGACACCTAATGTAAGGGAGTATACTGATGGGCACACCCTATTCGGACCTCAGAAGAGAATTTTAGTGACAGGACCTCCTTGAATTTTAATTCAATACCTCTGGTCTGTAGCCAACAGGGATCCTACTAACCTAATGATTATCCCTTGCTGGCTATACATAATTAACCCTTTCATTGCCAGCAGATTTCTGGTGGCTGGACGTGATTATTTCATTGCTTTCAGATCCCTGATGGATGCACATCATAATGAACCCTTTCATTGCTGTCAGATCTACTTCCATCAGGGATCTGACAGCAATGAAATAAGTATTAATGATGTACCTCCATCAAGGATCTGACAGCAATGAAATAATCATGTCCAGCCACCAGGGATCTGCTAGCAATAAACTGATTGATCACAGTCTTTAGAGATCTTACTAGCCTAAGATCCCTGGTGGCTAGAGACATGATTAACCCTTTTATTGCTAGCAGATCCTTGGTGGCTGGACATGATGGACTATATAATTGCTGTCAGATCCCTGATGGAAGCACATGATTAACCTCCTTGTATAACCACGCCCATATTAAATGAATGCCCCGCCCCT